AAACCACCCCCAAAACAAAAAACACCCCAAGTCAGAAGTTTTTATTACAAGTCCACAATGTACCCAGTGTTTAAAAAAGGAAAACTACATCTGCATGGACATATGTGTACATACTATCTACATGTAGAGTTAAACACAAGCACGCCATTTCTCAACACTGGCGTGGAGGTTGCGATGGGCGCCCACTCTGCAGGCTGAAGAGCCACCGTGGAGCAGACAAGGGCCGAGTGTGGCTCTCACCTAGGAGCATTACGAGGGTACTGTAAGCAAATCGTTCTGTTCTATATTGTAACAAGGTTCCAGTGACCCAGGCATCAACACAGCAAGGCCAAGGACATCTGTACAAGATTTATTTAATTAACCACAATGTTCTAGGGTGATGGTTTACACCCTAATGCAGCAGGACTGATTCAAAACCAGCAAACTCAAAGGTCAGAACCGCAGTCAGTGGCTCTGACTCTCCGGTCAGGGATCTCACCCACCACATTGTTTTTCTGGGACTTGTGAAAGGCTGATGCACAGAACACCTAGTTTTCTCAACAAGGTGCAGCACCAGAGCCTAGATTTCCCTGCTTCATGCCAGCTCTGGCTGTGCGGGGGGGGGCGCCCGCGGGGGGGCGGGGGCGGAGCCTCCTGTCAGTCTCGACCCCTCCATTCACTCATGAGCACCCCCGTTTCCAGCCACAGCTCCCCATAACTGCACATGTGCACAGCTTCCCATGAACTACGCGGCTGTGATACTGGCAAATGGGCCTACTGCAAGAAGTTAAATTGTCATCTGTTTAACAGAACAAACCCTTTGAAGTGAATCTCCAGTCTTAGTGAGTTTAGTGCATAGTCACAACATAAACATGACACGTGGGAATCAATACAAAATATTTATTTTTTTCAAACCACAGAATTCACCCAGACTTGGAAGCCATGAACATTTTTCCCCGACAATCCGGTCCAATGACAACGTCCATCTGGCGGGGGCGCCACACACACCGGAGCCTCACGAGAGCACACCTCTGAGCAGCCCTTCCCCAGTTCTCCCGCAGCCGCTGCACTGGCACGAGCAAACAGTGTGTGTGCTCGTGCCACCGGCTGTGGACAGAGGCTCAGAACAGGGTCTTGGCCAGTGGAGGAGGGAGTATCGATGACTCACTAATAAACGGGGGGGGGGGGGGGGGCGATGACAGAAAAGCATTCTTTTCCAAGAGGGTTCCTTTCACATAAAAGGTGGGGCAAACATAGTAGGTCTACAGTTGTGAGCATGTGGAACACGTGAGTTTATTCCTGTAGTATTATTTATTAATTCTTGTATTATTTTCCATATGAACCACTAGAAACCTACTTTTGTCCCACCCTGTATTCCAGTGGCTAGAAACTGGGGCAAATTTCAACAAGGTAATGAAAATAATCAGAAAGCCATTTCTCCATAGTAGCTACTATGACCTCTATTTTAACTTCTGATAAACATGAACTTCATCTTATGCAATCATATTAAGAACAGTAATCACAAACGAAAAGGCCCTATACACCTCTTATAGGTATCAGTCAAGGAATTCACATTCTGATCTTAAATTTCAGTCCCTGTAAGGGGCCTAGACCTGCAGTAAAGTAAACAATACTCTGAAGCTCAATGAGACACCATAGGAAAAACAAATCAACTGAAAACATCCAAACAATGAATGGACAGTAAAAGTAGGTTATTTTGTGTTGGTTTTTAGTTGTAAAGTTTTTTAATATCTCAGATTAGTGTATCCTCCTAAGACAATGTTATTTAAATACTAGCTGCTGATTAAACAACTGACTTTGGGCTTAAGGGCAATACATCTTGCATGATAATCATGCGCACAACTGAGATGAAACAGAGGAACAGAGAGGAAAACACAACCAGCCCCGCTGGGACGAGGGACCTGGAAGGCTGCGCTGGAGGAGTCCACAGGCTCATCCGGGCACCGACGCGCCTGCTCACACCGAGCCCGGAGGAAGCGAGCTGTCTGCTGCGTCACCCCGGGCTCTGCTGGCACCCGGGCACCGACGGCCACTCTCCAGTCCTCCTTGTGCTGAAGGACGTTCAATCCCTGCTCGGTCTGTACAGAATATTGCGAGGTGATGCATGTGCAAACTCTTCCTGAGGAATTCTTTGTGTGTGCAAATCTGCAACCCGACAAAAGGTGTGCAGCACAGGGACTGGCAGGTCTGTGGGGCCGCGGTGCTGGGGAGGGCGTGCAGTGTGCCGGCCTTGGCCTTGGGCATCCTCTCACCCACAGATCGGCTCTCATCCTACACCCCAAAGAAAGGGGGGGCAGCTGCCCCAAACGTGTGAGAGGGACGGGAAAATGTAACCTTCCCACAAAATGTACCAACGCACAACCGCTGCGTCCAGGCGTGTGTTCTCACTGACTCCACCTAAGAACTGTCGGGGTTTGCTTTTCCCCAAAGGACACAAAGGGTGTGTTGGACTGGGTGCATCTGTGACAACAGAGGGCCCAACATGACACTGCTACTGAAGATTCGGGCCAAACTTTAAAACACGCACCATCTCTTCCAACCAGCTGTCATCTGTTTATGCTCTTCCATGTCACATCTCAGTGGGACTGAACTGGCTCCCTTGGGAGGGTGCAGCCCACACACGCCCACCGACGAGCTAAACTGACTGCGTGTGCCGACGTGCAAGGGAACCGCCCGAGTGGCCAATGGTCCCACCCGGCCCACAAAGGCCGGGATTTCACCGCGTGGAGGAACTATACACTCTAACTGGCGAGAATACAAGTCAATGTGAAAAAATACTTTCTGGCAAATAGTGCTTCATCAAAACCAAATGGAGGACAAATCTTATTTCTTCTCATGTTGAAAAGTGAGAATTTTGTTAAGAATCCCAATTAAATAAGCAAGGTCACCTCTGCCTTGAAATAAAGAAATAGGTCCCTCCTACTGCCACCTACCTCGGGGGTGCAGATGAGCGCCGCCAGGTCACACGCACTGGGAGGAGGTGGGGACTCCCCCTGTGGTGCCTTCCCACCAGGCTTTGCAGCCCTGAGCTCTGACCCAGGCCTGGCTGCGGTCACCGTACAAAAACTCAGAGAAACTAAATTCTACAGACTCTGCCGACACTTTGTTCACACATATATTATAATAATAAAAGAAGACAATATAAAATTTTTCTCCATTAACTTAATAATGCAAATACATCCAAAGATTTTAATGCCAATTCATATCACAATACAATGCTTTTATAGAGAAAGTTCTGTCGTTGGCCAAAGAACAGTCTCTCCCAGAAAAAGCATTTGGGTGTATTATTAAAATACTGAAGAATCCATTTTTTAAAAATTCCAATTTTATTCCTTGCAGAAATAGTATTAAAACCACCCAGAGAGACTTTAGTTGCAGGTGTTATTTATAAGCCTGCAGCAACATTCCATCGAGAAAATAAAATTTGGCCTTCGTGGTAAAATGAAATTTTCTCTTGACACTAGAACATTCCTGGTGCAGCAAACCAAAGTCCCCAGGGCCCAGGGAGGCCCGTACACCCTTCCAGCAACTCAGTGTTTACTGGTACCATCCACTACACCTGAGTGTAGGTCATGAGCCTCGCTCAAGTCCTCCACCAAGTCCACCAACTCTGGTTGATAAGTACTTTACAAAATAAATCCTACCACCTTTACTTTTACTTCTCTGGGTAGTAATTTTACAAACACAGGACTTCTGGTAGGTAACATACTTGCTCCCAAGAGCACACTTCTAAGTCTCCCGCTCACCCGTTCCCCAAAGGAGGACAGACTGAATCGGCAGGGGCAACTGTCAGGAAAAACATGCCCATCGAAGCGCGGCAGTACCTCTTAACGTCTCCTGTTCCTGCTCCAAGTTCTCTGAGAAAACACCAGTCGGACACGGCCTAACGGACCCACAGAATGCTGGCTTTTAGATTCACACAGAATTGAGAAAAATTTTTTTCACTTACCACATCTATTTTTCTTTGCCTTTCAAGAACTAGAGTAAGCCTCAGAGTCTGAATAGGACCTAAACAGCACTGTGGGTGCAGAAAAACAGAAGGCACAGCTCTGCCACAGCTGAAGGGGGCCTGGAAAATAGCAGTGCTACTTCCCTATTGGGCTCAAAAAATAAATACACAAAAAATTTAAAGATAAAAAAATAAAAGATGCAGACTGCAGACTTAAAGTACTTCTCTTACCCATTTAAAATGAGATGGATCCAGAGCCCCGCACCACTGATCGTACTCGGATGCAACAACCCACCTGCTCCCAGAGCATCACGGGAGCCAGCTCTTCTTGTCCAATGGTTCACAAGCCTAAACGCGGCGCTTCGGGGCTGGAGTGCTGGCCGCCCCAGAACTGGCTCGATGCCGACGCTCCAGCAGCTGGTGAATCCCGTGCAGTGCGAGAGGGAATGGACACGTTCCGTGAGAATTGGTCCCCAGCATTGACACGGATACGCCATGGGGGGGGGGCAGGGGATTCCAATCCATGTGCGACAAGCTTCTGTTGCCCACTCACTCAGCATCCCGCTGCGGAGTCACACCTGACGTCTCATGGGGGGGTTAGTCCGTGACACCACAAACCTCTTCAGGACACACACGTGAGTCTGACAACACGGCCACAGAGTTGCAAAGTGCACAGAGCTCAAGGCACAGAGTAGAAAACAGTTGTGAACGAACGGGGGAAAAGGAACCGCAGAAGCAGAGTTAGCATTTTCCTTTCACGGGACTTTCTAACGCTACACAAAGACCAACTCTTTGAAACGGGTTTGTTTGGTTGTGGGTGAAAAATACTGTATAGTAATGACCTGCCTGATTTTAAAGCAAAAGGAATCTGGATGTGTGAAACCAGTACACCGAGTGCCAAGTCCCCAAGTGGATAAAACAGTGCTTAAAAACAATCTTCTGCTCTTACATTTTTGGAGAAAGCTGCCGATTTGGGCCGCCGGTTTCACTTATAAAAACATCCCTTTTCAAGATGCCTGTCTCTCCCAGAATCTACAGATGGATTAGCCCATTTCAGAATCAGCCCCAAGTCTAGCAGCAACTGACAGTTTTCTTGTTAGTTTTTTTTTTTTTTTTTAAATTACAAATCCAAGTGAGAAGTCCAACATCCTCTTCCAAGAACAGCTCTGTGACGGAGCCCCGGAGGGCAGGGCCCTGCTGTGCCCCGAGCACAGTCTCCACAGCCCCAGTGTGTCCTTGTTTCCGGAAGGGAAGTACATTCAGCACATTCACTATCTGTACCCTCTGGAACTCGCACACGCTGAGGAGCTGTCTGAAAAAAAATCACCAGAACAGGAAAAGGTATGAATAGCAGACAACATCTGATAACGGTAGAAATCTGCCTATTTAGCACAAGCTCCTCACCCCCGTCCCAATCTCCCACCCCAAAATGCTTTATTTTTTAAAGTGGTTCCGGGTGGAGTAAAAGGGGGCCAGATCATCAGGAACTCAGATGGGTCACTGGCCCATTCTAGCCAATGACAGAGTCTGGCAGCCTCTTGACAACGGTCTGAGAACCAGCACCACCCACTGGACTTTGGGCGGCCAGTTCGCAGAAGAGTCTGTCCGTGATCACACAGGGCGCCTAATGAGGCCACCATGGAGGTGGTGGACATCACTATGGACATCACTTTCCTCACTGCATGGTCACAGCCAGTGGCCATCTTACATCACAAACCCATCCGAGGCAGTACGGAGCATCGTCACTTACTGTAAGCCAACTCGTCCCCCGCTCTCTTCCGGGACTGGTCACCTCTGGGGATTAAAGAAAGAAGAGGCGTCAAAAGAACTGACTGGCTTCTTCACAGACCAAAGCAGGAGAAACCATTGACATCACTGATAACGGAAGTACAACTCTACCCCAATTCTAACCCAACAACCTATTTCAAAATAGACATTAAACCTAAACAGTAACTGAGTCATTTGTAACCTGAATATTCTTAGCTAACGGGCACCATCTTACAACTACAGAAAGCTGTTCGACGAAGGAAGGATTGTCTACAAGGGTCGTTCACACCGGTTCTCGAGACAGTTCAGACTAAAATGTCTTTGAAGATTGACCCGGGTTCTGCTATCAACACCCCCAGTGACCTTATGCAAAGGGCTTAAAGCTTTTGGAAAAATCTCAGAATCTCAAGAACGAATACAAATACCCTTCTTGCAGGCAGAAGAACATGAACCTTTACACAGATTCACCAGTTCATCTGCAAGTACCAAAGAAGGTGTTGAAAATATAAGAAAACAGATATAAGAAAACAGTTTCTGATTCGGTCCTTCGTTACCCATAAATCCTATTTTTGTCTTTTTAGTTTCTCAGACTATAATTAAGACAAAGGACTAAAATGCCAAAGAAATGAGTAACAACGACCAATTCACTAGCTTTTGACTCTGCCCAACACTGTCCTTGGCTACCTTTCTTCTCCTTGTATACCCTCCTTAGCCTAGAACAGTAACACCAGTCCTGGGACTGGAAATACCACCCACAGGCCAGTGGGTCCCAGATCGGAACCTCCAGCTCTGACATTTGCTCTGCACTTGGGACGCAGATCTAACTGCCCATCTCCACTGCCACTTGGGTGTTTCTACATATCACCGATGGACTGTGGCCAGAACGAACGCTGACTCCCCGCCACCCCCACACCTTCCCCAGCCTTCCTCACTGCAGGCACCACTATCCGCCCAATCACTCAGCCAGAGTCCCAGCTCATCCTTGATTCCTCTCTCCCCCTCACTCTGGAGCATTTTATTCCCAAACATAATCCGAAACAGACCACCCCTCACCCACTCCACAGAGACAGCCCCACTCCAAGTAACTATCATCTCTCCGCTCCACAACTGGGAGAGTCTCACTACTGGTCCAGACAAGAGCTGGAGTGATCTTAAGTAAAAGCATAAGTAAGATTATTTCATGCTTCTCATTAAAGCCCTTCAGTGGGTTTCCAACACTGATAAAATGCAATTCAAATGCACTCCCACAGCCTGGCGAGGTCTCTACCTCTCCACCCTCATCTACTTCTGTTCACTGTACTTTAGCTACTCGGGCTTTCTGCCTGTCCCCAGACGCGTTAGCACTTATTATTTCCTCTGCCTGCAATCCTCTTCCCCTTAATTAAACAAGTGAGCTATCTCCTTATCATCTGCTCCCTAGCTGGAACGCCTCCTCCTCGGGCTTGACATTACCAAGTCAGCCTGGACAGTGCCTCATCCGTGCCCCGGTCACTCATGCCCTCCCTCCCCCACTCCGTTTCATCTTCCTCACGGCACTTACTTGGAATAGTGTGTTTACGTATTTACTACTCATCTCCCTACATTCCAGTGCAAGCTCCCTGAGAACAGGAACCCACCTGCCTTGTTCACCCAGTCCCTGGAACAGTGTCTAGCACACAGCAAAAAATAAGTACTTGCTGAATTAACAAATTAGTGAGTAATTCATAAATGGCCTCAACAGATGATTAAGTGCTAGTTCAAGTAATGATTTTCTGCTTTTGAATCTTTCAGATTACCCAAATTTTGTTCCCACTTTTGTTCTCTGGTTCTGTCCAAGACTGGGAAAGAAACCCCTTGCTGGGCTGGGCCAGGAGTCAGAATGACCAGCAGCAAGACAGTACAGCTAGGGGCTCTGAAGGGTTCTCCTCTCGGCTAAGCACCCAGAGCAAGACAGGCTCATGGTCAGCACAAACTGGCCTCAGGCAGCCTAAGAACTCTCGGCAGAGGTCCTAACACCACTTTTAAACATCTCTGCTGTGACCAACGTACCCGCCACACCCGGCAAGCCCGCTGCGTGTCTCATGTCACTACTACTTCCAGTGGCACCATCGCAGCAGTGTGCACCAAGCATTCTGCAACGAGCGAGTCAGTGCTGATCAAAAAGAAAGTGCAGGATTTCCTATCTGGAACTTCAACTTCTGCAGACAACCTTCATTCCCAAGCCCCCATGCTAAATAAAAATGGAACATGCAAAAAATAAGAGAGAAAAATACAGATGTGAGAACGACAGGAGAAAGGATGGAGAACATGAGTGTGATATACATGAGAGGCTGCCAAAGATACCACCTAACGAAGCAAGCAGGGAACAGTACAAGCTGCACTCCTGGCTTATGTTCCGTGGACCCTGCTACTTCACGGAAAAGCGCTGGTCTACAGTAACCCTCCCGATTGGAAGACCAGCAATACCCTGCAAAGTCCTTTTTGGTTCCAGAAATCCAGGTCCCAACTACTCAGAAAGAACATTTTCTTTGCCCTTAAAGGCAGTTGGCACCTGCTTTGAAGAGGACCACAGGCTGCCTTCAATGGGATGCTCCATCTCAGAGCACACACGTTACAAGTTCCCAAACGAGCACACGGTCCACGTACATACACCATCTTTGACAACAGACACCAACCTGCCTTCCCTGACAACAGTCGATTCAATCACACAGGTAACAGATAAAAACAGTATGTTGATCTTAGCTTATATGTTAATTCTAGCTCTGAAATAAGTCCACACTGAATTTCCACACACCTAAAGATCTTTTGCAAAAACTTCAGCTCAAGTAAGAATCTGTCCAATAAATGCAAAGGAGGATCTATTTGACAATATTCATGCATTACTTCAAAATATTTCAGAGACTAACTCTGTGCCATCCACATCGCAGCTGCGCGCAGCCTGTGCAGGACTCCACACGTCACGTAAGTGGAACACAAACGAAAATAGCTCGCAAAGCTGAACGGGAACCGCATGGCGGATTAGGTATAAACATAAAGTGACCAGTCCTCTCCAGAACAGCCAGAAACAGAACTCCGTTAGACAGCCTGTGCTAGGTTTTCACCTTTTTTTTGGATTAATGGACACCATTTCTTCTAAAACAGTTTTAGCCAAATAACATCCAGAGAGTCATCGAAGCTGGGAGGGCAGAGCATGAAACAAGCTGGAAGCGCTGGCAGGGTCTGCCCACGGCTACGTAAATGGTGCCGCACACCCTTTCTGCCCCGGCTGGGCTGTCTCAGCAGTGAGGGACAAGTGACGCTGAGCATGCCAGCTTGGGCAGGACCTACCCTCTGCTAGGCACCCATCAGAATAATTTGTGAGGCAGACCTTAATCCTCACAGCAAGTGTGAAGAAACTACTAACTTCATTCTAGAAATGGCCCAATTCAGTTTAGAAAACATTTTAATCTTATCCTCTCCTGGACTACAACATTTAAATTTCAGGCAGATGGTATATGAAAGAATTCCACTAAGGAAAACAAAAAATCCAGTTTACACCCAAGCCTCAAGGCACTTCCTGGAATATAACCAACTTGGCCTTGGCAAAAGAGTGCCACGTTAGTCCTTCATGTTCAAGGGCAATGTGACATGAAACCATTCACAGAGTCAGGGACTCACCCCAACCAGATTTTACAGAGGAGCTACCACACATCAAGCAACCCTGCACCCTGCTGTCTTATTCCAGTCCCAAAATTAGGGTTAGGAGATGTCCCAGGGTGTGCCGGAACAGCTGCCCATGCTGCTCTGAAAGATGAATTCAAGGTGTTCAGAGACACCTACCTCCCTGACCTGCTTCACAGAAATAAAACTTTTCAGGTAGCTGTTTGTTTTCTGAAGACACCAATAGTTCATCTCTAAAATTAAAAGCAAACTTCAAATAAAAGTACAGAAGACTTCAAAATTATGGTGATTTCCCCCCTCATGTTTATTAGGGGAAAAAAAAGGTATACTCAGATAATTCTGCATTTATTTTTAAATATATAAGGAAAAATTGTAACTATAACTCAAAACACATAAGCCAGAAAAAGACAAAACCTCATATAGTTACACAAAGATAAAAAGAACTTCTACATGACTTAAAATTAAAAAGAAAAACCAACACCATAAGGAAAGTCAAAAGACAAACAAAATAAATTAACTGTCTTATCACAGGCAAAGAATCAGTACCTTTACTACAAACAGGACAGACACCTTGAAACTAAGAAAAAAGCAGACTAGTGATCAAATAGAAAAATGAGTAAAGAACATGAACAGGCAGTTTACAGAAAGAGAAACACAAACATGCAAATATGCTCAGCCTCACTCGCAATGAGAAATGCAAATTCAACCAACTGAGTAATTATGTTTCACCTGCTAGATTGGCGAAAATCTAAAAGGTTAACCACATACCCTATACATGCAAGGCCACGAAGGGCAAGCACTTTCGAACTCTGGGTGCACACACAAAATGGCGCAATCCCCTACAGAGAGCAATTCAGTAATATCAATCAAAATTACAACTGCGTTTACTCTTGCCCCAGCAATCCTACTTCCGGGATTCTGCTCTCCAGATACACCTGCAAAAGGTACAGGGTTACGCAGGCACCAGGGTATTCATTATGGCATTGTCAGTAATCGCAAAAGACTGCAAGTAATTCAAGTTGCCACCTAGTGGGGACTGGTTAAATAAGTCATAGTGCATCTACCCCACAGAATGTGTAAGAAATGAATAAAAATAAGAACATATATTGTATTTGCTTTTATCTGTTTTGTAAGAAAAACACTGGAAGGAATCATAAACTGAAATACTGATTACCTAATGGGTGGGAGTAGATGGGGAGACAGGACAGAATAAAACTTCTCAGCGTAGGCTTTTGATTCTCAGTGTGTATCATTTTGATTTTTGAATCACACAAATATATCAACTCTTCAAAAAGGAGTCAGTAAAACTACTCTGGCATTAAATGGCCATGTTCTGTGTGTGAAAATAATACTGCCACTAGAAATATTACAGGTAATGTCAGAAAGTGTGTGACCGCTGGGCCTCGGAGAGAAAACTAGCCGTTCGCACGCCTCCATTTCCCACGGGCCTCTCCTTCCCTCCCCCGCTGCAAGAAAGCTGGATGTAGAGGCCTGGGCACCTGCACAGCCTCCCCGAGCCTTTCCATGGGTGGGGTGAGTGGCCAGTGGGTTACCCAGTGAGCTCACTACCATGAACACAGATGCCACCAGGACAAACTGGGAAAAAGTGCCAACCCACAGGCTAACAAACTATCTGCTTTATTTCCTGACCTGTGCTGGAACTGCAGACTTGGTAATAGTTAACTCGGTCAAGGCCAATATTCTGAGATTTCATTTGGCCTCAGAACCTGTGAAAGTGAACGTCCATCCACAGTCCTAGTGAGCGAGGTAAGTGAGTCAAGGATCAACCGACTACTGGTGGTCACAGCTGGTGGTCACAGCTATGCCAAAGTGAGGGACCCAGGTAGCTTCCTTTCCATAACTTTCTTCCTTCAATGCCACAGAACCAAACAAGAGAAGACACATAAAAATGTAACTAAAGAGTAAGAATTATGAGAGTACAAGGCACTACGGTGACCTTCAGCGATGCGGTGACATAATGGGGTACTTCCCCACAGGGATCACAAAGTTTTTATATAATTTATTTCAGTTGAAAAGATGTGCTCTGCAAGATTTTCTGGGTCGGGGCCATGATACTGAACCGTAAATTTCAGAGAAATTAGCCAAGTGTATATATCACAACCAAGGGAGGCAAACTTTCTGGCCACATTAAAGAGATACCCTACTTTTTAAGAAGAAACAACAAGACTTTAGGGCAAAGTGAAAATATGGAAAACAGAATCTAGCCCTGGCCAGGTGGCTCAGTTGGTTAGAGTATCGTCCCACAACCAAAAAATAGTGAGTTTGATCCCCAGTCAGGGCACATGCCTAGGTTGTGGGTTCAATCCCCAGTGGGGGCATATATGGAGGCAAACGATCAACGTTTCTCACATCGATGTTTCTCTCTCTCTCCTCTGTAAAATCATTGAGCATATCCTCAGGTGAAGATTAAAATAATAATTAAAAAACAGAACCTACAACCTCTTTATACTAGCTTAGTCATAAAAGTACCTTATAACTGATCATAAAATTTCTACAATGCTTTTCCAAATGTTTGTAACTAATCTGAGAGGATCTAAGTTGGAAGAGCTCTCAGGGGCTGCCCGGCCTAACTGCCCCCAGTAAGAAATCCCCTCTCCAAAATCCACGTAAGTGAAGAGCAGCTCCCATAAAATCAAAACCCTGCCTAAACGTTCTGCAGACAGGGGCCACCTCCCTCTCCAAGGAGCAGCACCTTGACCTTGCACAGTTATGTCCCGTCTGAGAACCTTGGCACCCCTCTCCTGCCAGGCCAATCTGGCCTAAGGAAATGGACATATTTTGTCAGGAAAGAGAAAACTTGCCTCATGAACCCGTTCTGTATCAGTTCCCTCTGAAGTTTCTGATCCTGAGCAGCGTACTCAGAGAGCTCAGACTCCACCGCCGGGGGGAGGATGTTCGGGATAAATTTGGAAAACAGAGCCGGAGCCATCTGAACCCACTCTGTGAGGGAAGAAAAGCTTCATTAGGAAAATCACAGACCAATTAAATTGAATGGGAAAGTTTTATTTTGTTTGTTCAGTATGTATTAAACCAAACTTAAGTTTAATCTCATCGTGATAAATAACATACAACAGGTTCAATTTCCTTTCGAGAAAGAATTTGCAATGTAAAGAAAGCAGATGGTTTCCCGTTTGACTGATACAGCAAAATGTAGTGAAAATTTCTGTAAGAGAATTTTATTTTCATTTTTTTTACTGAAGTCACTGGGGGGTAACACTGGCTAATAAAATTACACAGGTTCCAGGTGCACAATTCTGTAACGCACCATCTGTACCGTACTGTGTGTTCACCCCCCAGGTCATGTCTCCGTCCATCTCTATTCACTGCCCCCCACACCCTCTCCTGCCTCTTACAGGGGTCTCATCAAAAATTCTAAATAGGAGGGCAAACGTGAATGAGATAACCGAAGAATTCTGAACGGGAGGCAACTGGGAGGTAAGAAGTGTGGTGGAAACACCAGCCCTATGAAGCATCAGTTAAAACAATATACTGGATGAAGAATAGAACAGGGTAGGGAGTAATAAGAAGACGTATAAAAAAGTTCTACAAAAATGGAGGGGAAATCAAACATTTAACAAGCAGGCTGGAGATAACTCTAAGTACTTTTGAAATAAAAACCTATTTGACCCATGCTAAATGACAGCAAGTGAAATATATATATATATATATATATATATATATATATATAACAGTGAAAGAATTAAAGTTATTTAATTATTAAAAAATATAAATGATCAAGAGAATAATCTAAAGAAAAACATTCAAAACTAAAATAGGCAAAGAGAAGTCTAAGAAAGATGTTTACATTAAACATGAGTTAGTATTTTTAATACAAAACATTTTTACAAATCGCTAAGACCAGATAAGCGAAAGACAGGGTTGAATGGTTTACAAGAAAAAATTCACAGAATAGGAGCTTTGTGAATAGTCACAAAAACCCGAGCTGAAATGAACACAACCCCTTCCCCTACTGCCTGGATGCTGGCTACACATGACGGGCACCTGGCACAGGGTGTGGTGAGGCAGGGCTCTCTCCGGGCCGGTGGCCCCGACCGACCACGGTGGCCCTTTGGGGTTCTTTTAATCTGGCCCTTTCAAATGTTCCCTCTTGAAAAACGTCTTAGCTATAAATGGCAAAAACCATAAAACGTCAAGGCTCTATTTATGCCAGTAGGCTCGATTTAAAAATTGTAACAACTGTAAGTATAATTCTAAAGTTGAAAAAATTATGCTAATGCTGTGCAGTGCTGGGTCATTAGTAACTTAAAAAAAATTTATTTTCAACAGAACAGCTACCTTAGTGATGGCAAATAAATAAATAAATAAATAAATAAGGCCTCCAAATGGCACAAGGGCCGATCCGCTCACCCCTTCTACACAAACAAGCTCACGGCAAAACGTCCTCGACCGTGACCCCACATCTAAGCTCAGCTCCGGAGCAGTGCTCTGGGGAACCGCGAACCAATCAGCACAAGCCGACAGGAGTCGAGCAGACCTGCCACCGTGGGGACTCCAGAAAACGAAGTGTATGTGTTCAACACAGGGCAGGACAGAATGGCTGCAACTACTTTTAAGCTCTGCTTCTAAAGATCAAATGAAAACACACCTAAAATGGTAACAGAATTCAGAATCTCCAAGGACTAGTTAAAAAACTTCCTTGGCTGGTTCAGATGCATTCATCGTTATACAAGGATCAGCATGTGAGAACCACCACAACGAAAGAAACTTTTACACTTAAAACTCAATTTTCAAAATAGTTTAACCTTCATCTGTCAGGTGAATAAAGCTGCTTTAATAAACCAGAAGCACAATAAGCAAGACATGTAAATGTCAAGATGTGCTTCATCATATCTCAGGAAATGCCTAGGGTCACAAAAAGTTAGTCTGGGATCAAGTGCAGTTTTGGAAGGACAAGTCTCAAATACAGTATCTCGCCTCACGGGCAGTGGGAATCCTATCAGAGGAGCTCGAACTTGGATAAAACAGCATTTAGAGAACAAGCGCTTCTACCCGGAGTGGTTATTTTTATTCTGCTATTTATTACTTACAACAAAAGCCAGAGCTTTTATGATAAAGCTGCCTACGTGGGAGATGGAATGTAGAAATCTGTCAAACTGCACTGGGATGCTTCCAGAATGAAATTAAATAAACCACTCACAACCCAGCACTAAAGGAAAAGCCCATGAGCTGTTTCATCGCATTTAGTAAAATGAAATTAAAAATTCCATGAAACTAGAAAAAGGAAAACATCAGCTTACTGGACACATGTAATAAAATATTTTTGCTCCCTTATATAAGTAATTATGTCATACAGGTAATTTGCTTAAAATTATGAAGACTAAAACAAGACCTGATTAAATTTAAGTAATATTAAATCTGAATACTGCACAAGTCACTAACTGTTTAAAGTGGCCTGAAAAAGAAGTTCTACCTCTAGTACCATTTGGACTTGGTTTCCATTTTTAGCAAGCTAAATTCTGACATGTCTTTTACTACATTAAGTGAACAAGCAACCAGTTAAAATAACCACCGGACCCAAGTATATAGTAATCACAGTTACTGTTAGCATGCTTATTATATTTTCAGATACTGTGTTAAACAATGTAGATCAGGTTTTATTCATTTAATCCTCAAATGACAAGACAATTCACAAAAATGTGATTAAAAGTAATCCCCCTTTAGTGAGGAAGATACATTCCAAGCCCCCCAGTGGATTCCTTTCGAGCTACATAACAGGCCTAATGAGCTGGAACAGTGAATGCAATGCCTACGCCCATTTGTAGTGTGGAGAAGTGAGGGAGAAACTCCGTAACAAAAAAGACAAAGACCAATGCTAGACACGGGAATCAATGTCACCAAAAGTGTCTCCCACAAATTATTTCCTATATTTTCTAAACGAGTTGGTTTTCACTAGAATACGGAGAATTCCAACTGAGACCGGAGCTTACATTTCACAATGAGGAGTACCTACTCCATTTTTTTGCCGTAACAAATCCAAATACCAACCGGCCTCAGAAGAGACACAGAGAAATGCTGTCCTCTGGGATGAGGCTGGGACTGCCAGAGACAGACAAAATGCAGCCGCCAAAGAAACGCCGTGCAGGTTTACCTGGTCTGAGAGTGTACAGGCCTTTCACGATATTTGCCATGGTGGACGGTGTGACCTGAAACGGTGTCGACTGGGCTTCTAAAAGTAAAGCTGTAAAAATAAGAGAAAATGGGACATAAAAATTATGTAGCACTCACCATCAAAGGTTTCTATTCCAATTACTATTTCTCCCAAAGGCAAAAGAGTAAACAAGTGCAAGAAAAGAACAGCCCAAGAAGACAAACCGAAGAATTTATACACAGATTTTTTTAAATCCAACGCAACAGAGCTCAAGCTAACAAGTAAACACGTACAGTTCTGCTGAAATACTAATGGAAATGATTCAATTCATCGAGGTTCAGGAAGTAAGTAACGCTTTCTAAAAGCGAAGGCATTCTCGGCTCTCAGCGAGCCGAAAGTGCTTCCCATTATGTTCGTGACTCGGGAGACTGGTGCTTGGGGATGAAATGTTCTCTAATTCTCTCAATCGCCGCTCTTTCCCTCACACTGCCTTCGTCGCTCAGAATCTTTCTGAAAGACACGTTGCTCGTAATTTCTCCTGTAACTGCAGAGTCAGACTGACTTTCTGAGTCAATCTGACTTTCCCCAAGCCTGCAACTGTGTGTGCTTTTTTCCTTACTAAAGGGAACAGCATGAGAGTGGCTACCGCGCTCACTGTCACGGCTCTGGGAACCACAGGACCCTGACTGAACGTGGCAAGAGGGGCAGCTTCCTTCCAGGGTATCTACTGCCAGACAAAAATGTTATTAAAACGGTTTTTAAAGATTTTATTTATTTATTTCTAGAGAGGGGGGAAGAGAGGGAGAAAGCGGGGGGAGGGAAACAATCAGTTGCCTCTCGTCCTCCCCCAAGCAGGGACCTGGCCCTTATGACCCCTGGCACATGTCCCCTGACTGGGAGTCGAACCAGCCATCTCTTGCTTTGAGGAGTGCCCAACCTGGGTCAGGGTTTATTAGAATATTTTTAAATGGACAGAAACAATTTCTCTAAATAACATCATCAACAAATACGAATAAATTCCATCATTTAGGGGCTACAACAGATACTAGTGATTCAAAAGAGTTTATTTTTAATTTATCTCTCAAAGACCTACAATTTACTAACCAAAATACTTTATAAAACTCGGCATAATTTTACTGTAGGCCAGGCTTGTAATATCGGACAAGTTGTCCTCTTCTGTCCATGCCTTTTTAAACATGAAAACGTGGCCAACACGTCTAGCCATCTTATTTGGCCATCGACTTTACAGTTTCAAACATACCGTGAGAGTTACACTTGAATTTACAGGAGGAAGGCCAAAGGTGCACCGTTCAAGTTTATCCTTCAGATTTTATCAGTAGATAGCTGCAATTCTGAAGGGCATACTCTATCTGTTAATCCACCTTCCTACTTTTTGACCAATTGTTTTGACCTTCAATAAAGTCTTGTTCCAACTGATGATTACCAGATGAAGAGGACAATTGGGGGAGAATGGGTAAAAAGGGGAAGGGATTTTGTATAAATCGGGATGTAAAGTACAGCACAGGGAAGACAGTGGGTAACATTAGCAATTACAAATGGTGTCAACCAAGTACTAGACTTACCAGGGAAACACCTGGTAAGTTATGTTGATGTCTAAACACTATGCTGTATACATGAAACTAATGTAATATTGTCATCTATAATTAAAATTTTTAAAAATATTTCTTTAAATAAGTATTATTCCCAGTAACTCTTCATGTTCAATGAACATTCATTATATGGTCAAATACTAGGTTGACCAAAAAGTTGGTATGGTTTTCCTCCATAGAATAAAAGACACACTTTTCATTTTCAGCAGTAACTTTATTGATTTGGCTATTTTGAGCATGTCAGCTATCTCCCACATGGTAAAACAATGATTGTTCTCAATGTCTCGACTTGATCACCATCAACTTTCACTGGTCCACCAGACTGCGGAGCATCGTCCAACGTGAGCGAGATCTCCAGCATGAGACTTCACAATCACTTTTGACAAGTTCAGTCAGTCGTAGCACCTTCTCTATACACTGTACAAATCTGTTTCTGCATCTCAGTTGCAAAAAACCTTTCTTGAAGTAATAAAGAATATGCCAAAAATGTTGCTTATTTTCTTTCATCTTTGATTTTGAAATGGCTACACAAAAATTCTCCAATTTTGATGAGTTTTTTTAATGCACGCTGATATGACAGCTGTCACAATACAATCTAACAAAACTGTTTTGAATGACGTTAAGGACAACTAAGCACCACTAGAGACATCTAATGGAAAAAACAAACAAACTTTTTGGCCAACCCAATAACTGTATTTGCAAACAACCCTTCCACAACTGTGTCAAAATAACCTGTGTCAAATTTGATAGCTATGAAAAAATTATGAATTCAGATTAAATTATACATAAAATGTATATGAATTTATTTAGGATGAATTAATGGAAAATAAATGCATTCAGTAACAAACAACTATTAGTGTTGAATAGGTGCAACATTTCCCTAAAATCCCCTCCATCTAAACTTTTTCTAGGAAAACACTGTTTCAAAGACTTTCTAACTGATTTCTCCTTCTAAGGAAAAAGAAAAGGAAATTTGGAGACGTGGTAGCTTGAGAAAGGAAAAAAGTATTTATCGAGTATGTAACAGGTGCCAGATGCTTACATGTGTTTAATTCTCATAATCTTTCATTTAAAATTCACTTTCTCACAGCTTCTCACCTACCTTTTTTTAACAGATAAGGAAACTGAGGCTAAAAACAAAACAGAATAAAAAACACAGAATAACTCATCGAAAATCACCAAGCTGGCAGGTTACAGAAGAGGACTTGCATCCCTCTCTGAACCCTGTATGGTTTCTGGTTACCGTGCCGCCACCGAAACGCTGGCCGTGCGGGCAAACTGGTGCTAACAGAGTGTGAGCCTTAATGACAATTTTCTTCCAAGAAGCATTCAATTTTTTAAAAAGCAAAGATCCTCCAATAATCCCACCAATTGTTGACTGTCAGTAAATAGTTTTAAACTAGAGCAAGATCTTATAAAACTTCTAGTGCTAACCTCTTTTTCACAGACTTTGACACTGAAGTCCAGAGAAGTTAAATGCCCTCCTGAAAAGTCACCTGGCTTTTTAATAGAGTGACTGGGACCAGAACCTGGGCCCTGTGCTCTCTCCATTATCCCTCAGAACTACAAGCTCACCCAGGGAGTTCTCGCTTTTATTTGAGAAGCAATTCTTAAATCAAACTAAAAATACTTAACTTCAGATTTTCTCAAACTATAAGGGTCTGAACCTAAGGAGAATACTCGAAATGTCGTTATTTAAAACCTGTGCAAACTGATGTGTAATCTTCTACTGCAACTCAAAACGTGTTTTCTCAACAAACTTTTACCATTAACTGACTCATTTGGTTGAATTTGCACAGAATTAATATAATACTAGAGATGTAAGTGATCAATGTATATCCTAGTATGTCTGTTGTTTTCAAAGTTTAATATAAAGTAAAAACTATTTTCAAAGAAAATTTTAATGCCAGCCAAAAGTGAAAGCCATTCTATTTTATAAGCATATATGCATGAAAATGGTGACCATGTAAAGGAGATAGAAAACTAGCTTTACGTGCAGTGAGAAGTCACTTTCTTCATTCATGAAATGACTACTAATACGGGCATTTGAGTATCTATTATTAGCAGATACTCGTGTAGCAGGTGTTCCTTTTGCCCTGCTGCACTGGCGTTAACATACGGCCCCCAAATTCTTCTGGCACGCCTCCCATCGAGAGGTGTGTCCACGTCCACTCCCCTAGAATCTGGGCTCTACAACCACCTGCCCATCAGAACACGGCGAAAGGGACACTGGCAAGTTCCGGGTCCAGGACTCACAAGCTGGCAGTTTCCCCTCCCTCTATCTTGGAACACTCACTCTTAGAGCAAACAAACGAGGGGAAGCCAAAGCCAGTGCAATCTGCCGGTCATGTAAGTGAGCCACCTGTAAAGTCCCCGACCCCGATGGAGTCCCTTCAGCCAGTGCTGAGCAGGGCAGACGTAAACCGCCCCGCCACGCCCTGCCGACTGCAGATGTGTGAGCAAAATGAAACAGAGTTACTGCTTTACGCCTCTATGTTCTGGGGTGGTCTGTTACACAGCGATGATAAATACGATGCTGGCATCCCCAAATGTGTCTGAAGCCACGTTAAGGAAATTACTGATCAGACAGATTTTAGAAAGTATAGAAATTGAATGTAGTTATGTGTTTTGGTAGAGAAAGGGGTGAGTACACAAAAATGTGTAACTGGAGACAAGAAACCAACCCTTAACAGCTGTGTTCTTCTGCTTTAAAGTAATTCTACCCTCTCTGAGCCTCGGTCTTCCCATCATTGAATAGAGGTTATGAGCAGACCCACCTGAGAGTTAGGAGAGGTACATACGTTAGTGTTCAGCAAGTATCTGAAACAGGCCCCACACGGCAGAGCAGTGTGTCTGGGCTGAAACTCTTTCTGGCCGCCAAGCAGGTAACATTACAGAGCCTCCTGCTGTTAACGGAGTCCGAACCAGCAAGGCCAGTGGTCACTTTTTGTGTCCCTTACTCCAGGCAAAATGCCTGGTAATTGCTTAATAAATACCTGACAAGTTCTGTTTTATCCCATTTACAAAAGCTTAAGGGCATTTTCAGTTTACTTGGGAAAAAAAGGCATATCCACCTTTAGGGGTAATTTTTATTGAAAATCATATTATATAACAAACAAAAAGAAGAAGTGATCTGTTTATGTTTTCTCCGACCAGGTCTGGACTACCACATCCTCTTTGACTGTTCTCTTTGCATACGCCCGATAAAACTGATTTCCAAATTACTGACAAATATAAAAAGATTTTTACATTGTAAATTAGCTTTTCTACCAAATGGTAGCACTTTCTAAAGAATTTTAACAGGAATGATTCCACAATGCTGTGTTTTATTTCACAATGAACACAAAGACAATGTCAACATCAGAGATAATACTTAAGTGGCTATAATTAATAGTTGGGATATCTCGTGAAGTAATGTTTAAAGATATCTGTAAACGTCTGGCCAGCCTTTTTCAAAAAAAAGAAAAAAGGAGGCCATACTCCCAAGATTCTAGATCTCTATTATGATTCTGGAAATTCTTGGGAACATAATGAAACATTTATTATCTTCATCTACAATATTGTTTGAAAATGCTTCCTTCCAAAGCAAACTGGCCTCACATTTAATATTCCTTCTCTTCGTTTACACTAAGAAATGAAAAGAGTATGTGGTCAAGCTTACAACAATCCTCTTCTAAATTCTGGTAAAAGTCGATTGTGGTAGAAGCTATGACTATTAGAAAAACAAAACGACACTGCATATCCAGAATGGGCTGAATTCTAAAACACGAGCTGATGACATACTGCAGTGTGAGCTTTTACAGAATGCGGACCCCTTAGGTGGTCAGGGGCCCCCAGACTCCATTCAGAGAGGTGGATTCTTTTGGGAAAGGCACAAGATGCCACCTGCTGTTAGGGGGCGGGGGCTTGGGAACAGAAGGAAAGGAAAAACTAACTGAACGTGACCATCTGATCTGCTTGCTCAATAACCTACATGAGCACGTTAAACATCTTACAAGTCCCAATTCACGGAAGAGGAAACACAGGACCAGAGGCTAAGTAACTGCCCGCAATACACTTGGCATGTGCCAGAGCCGGAGAGAAAGGTTTCTGCACTGAAGAGTTAAGAATCAGAGAGGGTTCCGTGCTACCACTTCAAAGATAAGTGTGTTCTCCTTCTAGAGTCACCACGAACACAGTTAGGGGTGAACCCCTTACTGGTATTTCCCCCACTGTCAGGAGGGGTAAAAAAGGCAGCAGGTTTCGGGCCAGAGATAAAGGCACCCTCCAGTGACGGGGCTAAGCAGCTCCCAGCCCACTGGGTGGCTTTAGGGTCTTATTTTCAATTCCTCACGCCTCTTTCTATTGAGCCGGGCTTCGACGCTCTGCTGTGTGCTTCAGAGGATGAGGTTTGTGTGCCAGTGCTCTCTGGCCAAGAGAACACGTGTATCACTGCCGGTGCGATCTCACCCCCACAAGCTCAGTTACTTACGCATTAGGCTGTAAATGTGCTTTTCTGCAACATGTTCCGTAAACAGCTTTATAAGGTCATCTTTTAAGTCTCTGTTAAGCTTGGTTTCAATGTAAAACTTATTCTGAAAAAGAAAATAAATTACTCCCAGTGCATTAATTAGGAGAAATGATTAGTAAACTGAAACACTAAAAAAGTTAATTATTTGAGAAAACAACTCATAAAGATATGAATTAAAACATTAAAAAAAAACAAAACAACAAAAAAAGTCATGTCTTATTCATATGTCTTTCTGGCATGGGGTTAAAAGCACATAAAGATAAAATGCTATGACCCACACGCCTCCAACACAACACAGAAAGACACCTGACATGTCCTAGACAGGGATGTACAGGCACATGGAACCACACTATGTGACAGGCACTTACTATGCCATTTAAAAATACTGTATTATCTTAAAAGCAACACTGGGAACCACTAATGAAAGGCCCCCATGTAGCAATGATCCAGGCTGAAAGCAGGTAGCAAACACGCACTGGCTGACTCCCAACTAACATTCCACTGCACTGCTTAGTCTGAGTCGTTGGCGGATGGTATTCCTTAGAGACGACCATTTCCGAACCATCTCTGGTTCAAAGGCAGACACGTGACCCCAGGTGACCCAGTAAGACCGAGAGAAACCTAGGCTTAAGTATAAAGTCCCTTACAGCCATCTTACCACCCTGAGGAGAGCAAGATGACACAGATGCTGTGTACAGCCAAGGGAAAAAAAGAACCTGCGTCCTCGGTGACACCATTAAGCCACAGATTCAGCCAACCCTGCAGACTGTCTTGTGTCTGGATTTTATTACAAGAGCTAATTCTTTCCCTTATTTACTTAAATCACTTTGAGTCAGCTTTTCTGTTTCTGGTAGCCAGAAGCATCCTGATTAGAATAGGTGGCAAGTCAAAAAAAATTGAATTTTCACTGGCTGATGTGGCTCAGTGGACTGAACACCAGCCTGCAAACCAAAGGGTCACCGGTTTGATTCCCAGTTAGGGTACAGGCCTGGGTTGTGGGCCAGGTCCCCAGTAGGGGGCGCGTGAGAGGCAACCACACATTAATGCTTCTCTCCCTCTCTATCTCCTTCCCTTTCCCCTCTCTAAAAATAAGTAAATTAAAAAATCTTAAAAAAAAAAAGACTGACTTTGTTCACGTTTAAATAATACGTCAATGTATAGGAATGGAAAACGCAAGGAATACTGTTAACAAGTTGCTGATTTTTAGTTCCTAACACACGTCTTTTTCTTCTTTAAAAAATTATACATATAACATGTGCAGGGTTAAAAGTTAAAACCATGCAGAAGGGTATACAGTGAAAAGAACTGTCCTCAGCAGACCCCCTGCCCCACCCCCCGAAGGCCTACTCTACACTGGGAAAACTTCCGTACATTCTTTCTAAAATGCAGCTTGCATATGTATGAATGCGCTTTATTCCCTAATACAGGAGAAAACACAAAAATAAAATTTGAAAAGGAAAACACCTGCTAACGGAGCAACAGTCCACAGCGCTCCCTGTGCTGCTTTTCCACCTACTGTCTCCTGGGGGGGACTGTTCTCTGAAATAACAGATGTGTCACTATTTTTACTGCACCTTTTCAACTGTAGGTATCTTCCCTAAGGTATTTAAATAACAGTCCCCTGCTGATCACAGACATTTCTCACAGTGGTTTTTTTTTCCTAGCAGTTGTTTGGTTTTTCAGTAAAGTACATCTCTGGAGAATAAATAAATCATTTTGAAGACCAGTATAAAACATACAGCCACCTCCATGCTATAGTTTATAGGGTCAGCCTACACACCCCATTCCCCAATCAATACACAAAGAGGAGTTGGGGTAACGATTTCACTGCCCTGGGACAAGTGCCGCCTAACAGGGCCACGTACAACTTTACGCCACGCACAACTTTACGTATTTAAGGGGGAGGGGCCAATCAACAAAGTCAACAGACTACAAATTCCACTCTAGGCACACTTCTCCAAATGAAAGCGATCAGCAGAATGGAAGCAAATTTTATTGTTCTTTTTTATGAAATGACTTTATTGGCATTTATCATACTTCATGTTTTTAGATATGTCTTAATTCTCTTTTCTGAGGACAAAACATCTTTCTTATACATCTTTATTTTCCATATGGCAGAAATAAAATAAATGCTAATTGGGTGATTGCTGATATTAATGCCTGTCTATACAGCAATGTTATTTATGTAATTTTAAAACGGAAAAGGATAAACAATTCTTCCGTGTCAACACTGTCAAATACTCCCCAAATAGGTTACTTTCCATTTCTACTATAATAGATAGTATTAAAAGGCAACAGAACATGCTCTCTGGGCTTCGATCAATAAACCGAGCTCTAACTTACCATATATATGAAAAGAGGCACAATGCTCTGCAACGCTCCCATATATTGTCCAAGAGCTATATTAAATCTTTCAATATAGAGATCTGGAGGGCTGGCCTGTGAGCAAGAACATACACGTGATCATTCTGGGAAACCCGGTTTAAAGACCTGTCGTCACAATCTGAAGTGCAAATGGCTCCACTTACAGGCTCAAAATTCACACAGAGAACTGCTCACTTCTAACTCAGCTTCCACTATTCCATACTTACAGGTTTGGTGTACACCAGGTGCCTGCAAACTGAGTGTTCTTTCCACTTTACGCATGAAACAATTGGGGCTCAGAACATTTAGTCACCTGACTTCGGTTTCACAGCTAATAAATCTTGGTCACTCCAAATCCTCCCGTCTATTCACTCCTCTCTCAGAACCCTAAAACCTTTAGAAAAAGCTCAAATTTCCGATGCAGGGCACACTGTGTGCCTCTCCACATCGCTGTCCCTCTCTTTCTCACATGCAGCCCAGTTGGGTCAACATGGGGAATGGCCAGCAGTTACCGACAAGCACCAGGGTGCTGTCTCAGGCTTCCCTGGCCGTACTCTCCACCGGAATGTCTTCACCACCACCCCAACCAGATTCACCTGGCTGACTTCTGTTTACCCTTCAGTATCTGTCACGTCCTCATAAACATCTGGGCTACATGGCCCTTCAGGGTCACACTTGCTCACTTCTCCCACTGGGTGGTCTCTGTCACTAAGCTCAGGTCCCTGCAGGGCAAGCCCTCAGCCTCCCCTTCCCATCTCCAGTGCTGAGGCATGTCTTCTGAGGACAGTCTTTCTTCAACGCAGACTTGGTGAAATCTAAATCTAACACAGCTTTGTTTAAATCTACATTATTTTACTATTTAACAAGGCTGTACGACATCATGCAATTCATTTAGGCCCCAGAATTTCCATTTCCACACATATAAACCAGGAAAAATACCAATGTGCTATTTCTAAGATGTGCTTAGATTCAAAGAAAATGGTAAGTGCTTTGAAAAATGTCAAATATGATACATGCATTATGCAACTAGTAAGTAAACTTTCTGAACTAACTACCCATTTGCCTAACACTTCATAAAAACCCATTAACGTTATTAAAAGCATTCCTTATCAACTAAAGAAATTGGGGGAAATGGTTCCACATTATGACCAAACTTTACAACTAATGAACAGAAACACATGTGCTATCTTTCTCTAAAGTGCTTCAAAGACTCTAGAAATGATATTTCGGTATTCAAAGAAATAAATTTTAGAAGTATCATATGAAAAAAATTTGAAGAGGTTTTGCATTAAAATAATTTTCCCTTTTCATAAAAGGACACTGTCTATCCCAAAGTTAAAAGTATGAACATTGATTAAAAGGCATACTTAGTAGCAGGCAGAATAAATAAAACTGAATTCCTTAGTTATTCTTTTCAAGAATTCATAAAACTTCAAACGTTATGGGTAATAAAAAGTACTTTTTCTACTAAATCAAGTGTCAGAACATTCAGTTTTTTATTTTCACACTTCATGCAGCACTTACTCAAAACCTTTTAAATGACAGGGCTATAAATTATAACAATCTTCTAAAATAAATCTAATCTCTTTACTAGGACCCTAAAAGAAACTATTTTTAAAAACTAATCAAATTGTTCATCCCTAAAACTTAAATTCAGTAAACTTTGGGCCCCACTCGGGAAATTGCTACCTATTTGATTTCCATCATTTCAACATGAATATATTTGGCTTGGACATTAAGGGAAATTTTTTACCCCTAAAACAAATAAGCTTCATTTTATTTTCACACAAGAAAAGGTTAAGTTGCCAGAAAATTAACTGTTACTCCAAACTTGCTCCAACTTTTCATAATAGACCTTGATTCCCTGAAATTTATTATATGGCTGGGAGGGGAATTTTTAAATTTTTAAAAAAAAAACGACTAATGCATTCACCTGGTTTAAAATCAAATTAGTTCAAAATCATTTAGAGTTTACCTTTCATTCCTTCCTCACTAAACCAATACTTAAGTCATTTATAACCTTCAAAAAAATGTTATGCATATACAAAAAATAAGTATCCCATTTATACCCTTTCTCTGTCACATAAACACTTGTGATCATTTCACATGAACGATCACATGACTGTCAATTTACAGTCACACACTGGCCTGCAACTGACCTAAAAATGTATCTTGGAAAGTGTTTTATTTTGGTGGTTCTCAGACATTTTGACCTCAGGAATCCTTTACACTCTTAAAATAATCAAAGATTCCAAAAGGTTTTTTAAAATATTTTATTTATTTAGAGAGAGGAAGGAAAGGAGAGAGAGAGAGGGAAAGAAACATTAATGTGTGGTTGGCTCTCATGCGCCCCCTGACTGGGGACCTGACCTGCAACCCAGGCATGTGCCCTGACTGAGAATCAAACCAGAGACCCTTTGGTTCGCAGCCCGAGCTCAATCCACTGAGCTACACCAGCCAGGGCAAGAAGGCATACTTTAATAGCCTTTTCAGATAATTGTGAACATTCTTTGAAACTTAACAAGTAGTAGTTTCTTACAGATTAGTTGCAATATAAAATCAGAAACTATCAATGAACTCTTTGCTCTCTAGCAATTAAAACCTACTGGTATACGACTTTGAATGGATCCTTCACACATACATTTTAAAACATCACAAATGGGTCATCTGGAAATACAAACTTACTGAATTATGCAGATCTTCCAAATGTTGACACATTTCACTATATAACATCAAACAAATTTCATTTGCTAATATCACCTATCTAATCACAAGTCTTTTTAGTTGGCACTGAGAATCAATAAAGGTCGTGGTGGTAGACTCAGGTTTTCCATAATTTTAATTTTCACTTCAAACCTCAAATGTTATCATTGGCAACAAACACTGTCAGCTGTTTTCCTTGATCTGACACTCTCGATTCATTTTTCAGAAAATGTCTGTCAAAATACCAAAGTCTAAATAACCATAGCTTATCAGTTAGTCATTCTTTTGAATAAAAAGTGTTCTATGGTGGGGGGGCAGCTAGTTTAGCTCCAAACTTGTATAACCACGCCAGGGCTTTTCTCAGACACACCCCTTGGGCTCGGGTACGCACAGGGTGTTTTAAAGTCTACTCAGAGTCTCCACTGAACACATCAGTACTTCCCGCCGCTTCGACTGGGGCACTCTTCAGTGAAGCAGGCTTCTTGCTGCTTCTGTTTCCTGCTGCAAGTGTGTGGAGTGGAGATTCCGGCAGCTTCACTCACTGTCCCCGCTGTACCATCACAGCAAATTATCAACAGAGTGAAAAGGGCAAATGACATTCTAGCAGTATTAGAAAAACAGTTCTGATCCTGGAGCCCCCCTGAAGGAATTTCAGCAACCCTCAGAGGTCCTCAAAACGTAACTGAAGAATTCTGCTCTTGCCCTGCCTGGTGTGGCTCACTTGGCTGGGCGCTGGCGCGCAAAGCGAGAGGTCGCTGGTTCGGTTCCAACCAGGGCACAGACCAGTGTTGCGGGTTGGGTCAGGGCACAAAGGAGAGCAATAGCATCGATATTTCTCTCTGCCACCAATACTTCTCCCTCCTTCTCCCTCCCTTCCCCTCTCTCTAAGAAGAAATAAACAAAACAAAATAAAATAGAAATACTGGGTTGGCCAAAAAGTCCATTTAGTTTTTTCCATAAAATAAAAGAACATTTTTCGTTTTCACCAATAACTTTATCGATGCGGGTATTCTGAATATGCCGGCTGTGTTGCAGAGGCCACGCGTGCTGCCGAACGTCCCCCGATGCACAGGACAGCCCCACCGGGAAGAACTGTTTGGCCAAAATGTCAACAATGCCAAGAAACTCTGGAAACCACTTCTGACGTGTTCGATCACTCACAGCAGCTTCTCCGTACACTGCACAGATCTCTCTTTGCACTTCGATTGCATTTTTACCTTTCTTGAAATAATAAAGCACAATATGCAAAAAATGTTGTGTATCTTCCATCTTCAATATTAAAATGGCTGCACAAAAATTCACCCATTTTGGTACGTTTTTTAAACAAATGTGTGCTGATATGACAGCTGTCACAATAGAATCTAACAAAACTGTTTTGAATGACGACTAAGGACTAGCAGAAAAACCTAAACGAACTTCTTGGCCAACCCAATACATGCTTGTAAGTTCTGTACAACACTGGAATGTTTCATCAGGATGCATTCTGATTACTTGTTGTTAATCTTTTGTTACCACAAACAATGCTGCAATGGATAACTTCCCACAGATGTCATCTTGTAGACAGTTTTAAAGTAAAATTTTAAAGTTAAAATGGTAGGACTAAATAATCTTATATATCACTAGATAAAAACAAAATAATGTTGGCACCTAGTCTGGAAGACCCAATCTGCGAAACGTCACTCAGTAAATAAACTGTGAGAAATGCCTCAAGGCAAGAGAGGAGGTGCGATCTGCTGTTTGCATGAAGGCTTTAGGGGAGGGGAGGAGAACAAAGCTTGTTATCCTCAACTTCTGAACTAGGTAAGTTTGGTCAGTTACTCTAATTACATGCATATTAATTTTAGAACAGCATGATTTGTTTAAATCATTTTACTACCCGTTAGACAAATATACCATAAGCTGGGCCAGTTCTGCCCAACAGAACTTTCTATGATGATGGAAATGGCCAATACGGTAGCCACTAGCCACGTATGTTCCTGAGCACTTGAAACGTATTTAATAAAACTAGGACCTGAATTTTTATTTCATTTTAATTTTAATAATGACATATGGCTAGAGACTATCAAACTGGACACTGCAGATGTAAAATACAAACAAGTTCCACAATTTCACATTTATATCCCTCTTCCTCTACCTACGCCTGCCCCATTTCCAGCCCACCAAAATGAAATATTAAAAATTAAGAATATGTGTTTTATGTCTACAAAAACATTCTGGTTTTCTTTAAATAATGACTTTCCCATGTGAAAATGAAATAGGAAAGAAAAAAGAGTGAGAAGAACTAATAAACATTACAAGGACATTCTCACATCTATCTTTACAGAAGGAACGCATGTTCACTGAAATTTTTAAAAATTAAAAATGCAGTTACA